GCGGTCGGCAAACGGTTCAAAGACTAGGTAGCTTGTGTCACAGAAACGCCACACTCCTACAGTTTATTCCAATCGGTGATATGTGGTCTTGCGCTTTAATTAATCAATTAATTAGTTACTAGTCACACTTCGGGCTAGGGTTTAGCGTGCGAAATCTAATGCTGTCACACAACGCTGATGGTGTGTATATGCATGAAGTCATCTGATTCGATACCACGCCTATCCTGTCAAGTAATGCTCTACTACAAGTCCTGCGGTTTCGGTGACCGAATAGCTGCTGATCCATGTGACCACGAGATTCATCCCTTCGACTGCTCATCTCACAAAAGTGTTTCATAGAAATGAGCAGTCAAAGTACAAGTCTCGGTTTCAGTTTTCACAACTGTACAATTTCATGCACCAGTTTTGGTTTCTACCAATTTGAATAAAAGAGCAGAATGAAGGTTGGAATGTTATGAATAAATTCGAAAGAAAAATAGATAATCCATACAGACTGGTTACAAGAACGATGAGTAGACATGCCCTAGGGCCACTGTTTGCTATACCCAGCCATATCGCTTCAGCGTTTCTAACGACCAGTTACGTGATCTCGGGATCCCATTCCAGGAAGCATAACGGTACCTTTGTGACCCAGTACAAGTCAAAAGTAGGGCTGCATGAAATAGACAGAAAGAGAGAAAGAAAGTGGAGGAGGGGGGCGAGGAGACAAACGACTGAGCAAACTACTCACTTTCGGATAAGTATAGGCGACCGAATGCACTCCCTGTATGGCCATCAAGAGTGAGATCAGAATGATATGGTCCTCCGGAACGTCATGCTCGACCAAGATCCGCATGGCCATGATTGCCGCGGCCCCGGTAGCTACGGTCGAATCCATTAGGATGACAAAACAATCCTGAAACGAGGCAGGGTGTGAGGCAGTCGAGTAATCGAGCGAAAAGAGAGCAACCCGTAAAAGCATTGAAGTACGATTGCAATGGGTCAGGTTAAATGAAAATTTTCGGGGATTCGCGGAAAAACTTAGGATTTTTGCGGTGTAAAGTGAAAATTGTGATCAATGGAGGTGAGCAGGCGGTACACTATGGACATAACCAGATAAGTATGGTTTTCAATCGACCCGACCGGGAATGACAGATTGATTTTAAAGGAGATTAGCAAATCATCAGTGTGTATGATCACAGGGCGTGTTTTATCACGCTTAGAAAAAAAATGAACACCGAATCGGTTGTCGTGCATGCATGCATGCATGCAGTGTCCGTGATAAAACACACTTGTGTGACAAATTGTACACGCACCTCGTGACAAGTTTCACAAATAAGAACACGATCCACTCTCGGTAAATATACAACAGTTCAGTGTCATTTATACATCATGCATTAAACAAACAGTTCAATTGAGTAGTTTTGAACGCTACTTTAAAAAAACACCGAGGTATTAGGTGAAATGAACAATCGAAAAGCTGTAGTAAGTAAAGACTTAAGTGAGAGTGCAGATTGGTTTGAGACAGAAAACCACTGTATACGACACCCTCATTTGACGCACGGTTCTTCCAGCCACAAACGCAACACGTCTCGTCGGTCTCAGTTGCATTGATAGATACAAATTGTAATGCACATTCGTCCACTCACGATTCCAGTTAACATGTGAAGTCTGGTCGAGGATTGTCTTCAATACAAATTGTTTTTGGCAGTCAGCTTACATGATAATTGGTGGACATTATATGCCTCAGTAAGTTTGATGGGTAAATTCGAATGTGAAAAGATCAGTGCTATCGGTGTGGGCTCGTAGCTCAGCTAGTAGGGCATGCGCGGACAGAGCGTAGGCGGCGTCCATGCGTGGTTTCGGATCCCACCGAGGCTACTGGACTTTTCACAATCGACATACAATATAAACATGGGTAAAATCTATTGCTTCGAGAAGCGCTTAACTGAGTGACAAGTTCAATCCCCGTAATTCCTCTTCCCGAACCGTTGTCTCAGAGATGAGCGGGCATCCGGGATGTTTCGGATGAGAGTATTCCGTGAGCGGTTAGTTGGTCAATTAAAGGCGGTAATCTGATCGGAATTGTCATATGATTGGTTGATCGGAACGTCCGTCTGACCAGGTTGAGATGGACTGTGTAAACCTACTCCCAGTTCTGCGTGCGCGGACGCATCCATCGTACTCTTATGATCCGCGCACTGTTCTCCAATGCACACGAGCTCCATTTCTGGCTATGACAGAATGGCTATAGTAGAGTGCTTTAGTGGACATCTCCGGTTAGCAGCTTTCGGTCCTGTAATATCGAAAGTTCATGGAGCAGAAGAACCGGATGTAATTCAGTGATTCCCTTCGTACCTAAGCATACGTTGTACAAGGGGCAATGTCCCAAAAGGCAGACATCATGAATCGACAAATAGACATAATTTGGCATTGCTTGTTATCTTCCCACATCCAAATTTCACGGATGCAGGGCAGGCGGGGACACAAAAAGTACACATTGCTGAAGAGTCCCAACAAAGGTGACATAGCTATCGGTTTGTGATTGGATAAAATTATTTCACAAAATTAACCCGTTTAGACGTTAATTTACAACTGATTGTTTATTTCAATTGCTTATACAAGTGTAACAATGGATAGGAACAGACATTTGCAACAGAGTAACGAAATAAGTTGAAATTGTCGACTGACACTACGTTATTTACATAGCACTGCTTCGTTATTCACGACCATCTCGCAAGCATATGATTGACCCATAAGAAATCGTCGATTTTAGCTTACTCGAGTTTTTTGCCACCATAGATTTGAATGGTGGGGTTTTCTGGGACCGAACAAAACACAAGAGCTTGCCGTAGCATATTCCCTGTGCATTTCGACCAATCTGAATTGCGCATTTGGTAACAGATTACAATTACACCCTTATAATCTGCGACATTTACCTTGTCCCCAATACTTCTCATTTTCTTATCTTTCTTCTACCACTCATATTTCATATCTATGGAACAGTAACAGCAAAATTAGTCACATTTTCCGTCGATTGCTGTTCACTGTAGTGCATTTCATACTTTATTTGCGCCCGAGTTTTACCGTATCACTAATACACTATATTACTCTGCGTTTCACCGCCTAAGTGTCCAAGGATGAAAACCTAGTCGCAGGTTATTTCACTATTATAAACTATTATTCACAGAACCACGTCCTTTACAACACAATTGCTGCCCGTATTAGTTTTCGGCCCAAAGTGTGTTGAAACTAAGTGGTATCATCACAATTTCGCCCTATTCATTCCGCCATTTAGTTATACTGTTGGACCGTAGGTTAGTCATCCAGTCGTTACTCTCTTGCCGTCACCGTTACAACGCGCAATGCATTACTTGCGGATAGTGCTGCTTAGAACCTCTGGCATGTGTGCCCGGATGTGATGTGACACGACTTCTGATGGACTGTGCGAACCTGCCTATGCGTTTTTGGTAAGCTTCTGGTTCAAGTAGGACATCATACGCGGTTTGATGGGACACCACTTGAGAGCAATTAACAAACTTAGGACACCAGTGCGTTTCGTGCCATTCGGACGGAAGAATTGGACTGGCATTTTCCTCTCGCTCATCAACATGGTCCACCTCGAAAATCATCGAACATAATGGAAGACAGAGAGAGATACGAAAGGCCTTTGAGCTGTCAAATGCACCCACCTTGATGTCGCTGGGCAGACGGATGTAATGCAACTCGGGCTCGCAAGTGTCCGGATTTGTCTGAATGAGAATTTTTCCAAGGCGTACATCTTTGCACACCGCGCACAGAGCCGGTTCGAGTGCTTCACCAGCTCGAAGGATTGAGACTCCACAAACCTGAGTTCCGGCAGCCAGTTGTCGACCACGATAAGGTATACCCTGAGGTGTTTCCACTTCCACATCCTACGAAGGAAAAACAATAGAGGTGATGAATTTTGAGTGGTGTGAGAATGTATGCAAGCAGCAGACTTTTCTGATTAAATAAGTACTAGCAGGCCTGCACAAAGTTATGTTAGAGGGACCGGAATATTCGTTAATTTGAAGTAAGCCGTTTTCATAAGACTGATGAAGTGGCAACGTGATAGTGAGTACCACTTCGCATTCTTCGTAAAGAAATAGCACAGGATATAAATGAAAGTGGCATGAAAACTGGTGTCTTAAACATATACGGTTCTTGAGAGAAACTAATGGCAGAAACACTACGAAGCCAGTAGATATACATGTATACATATATATATATATGTGTGTGTGTGTCAGCTTGAGCATGTGCGCATACTGTTTTAAACCATATGAAAAAGATAACAGATGACCCTAATAACATCTTAAAGGTCAAAATGCACCGCCAACAGGATACCCCGGTGGGTACGATTTTTACTCAACGGGGGGAGTTTATAAAAACCAATCCGCTAGGGAGTGAAGGTTAATGAGTAGATCAGGTGGATGAACATAGGCATGGATAGTCTTCATCGAGCACAGAGATAGAGGGAAGCACGCGAAAAGACTGTCTACTAGCCTGACTTACCATGTGGGGTAATAGATTCATTGCATACTCACAAAGGGGGCGCATCAGACGTTCCGAGTAGAACACAAATGAATCTTGGTCAGTGTCACGATCCCGCATGATCGTGTGCAAACCGCGCGTTTGCGGTACGGACGGCAACACGTGGACACGTGGAGGCAGTATCAATTGACGACCCATCTCGTCCACCCAACCGTTGGGCAGCCCGGTCTCGCACGAGGCTGCACAGCTGGACTGGTCCGACTCACCATCTTTCGAAGGGCCATCGCCCCACGGCTGAGGACCGAAGGTGCCATTAGACAGCACTGTGCTCCCGTTTACCACAGGTAGTCCCATTTTAGCGAGAGCGTGGCGAGAATTTGTCGTGTGCTGGAACGGAAAGAAAAAAAACCCCAAAAAAGTGAGACCGTGAACACCGAATCGGGTATCACAGAGCACAAAATCAGTGTCAAGCACGGTTGCGGTGAGGAACGCATGCACTTACCAATGTCAGACGTTTATTTATGTGCTGAATAATCAGTTGAAGTGCGACCTTGTTCTGACCACCTGAAATCAGACCAAACAGTGGGAGAAATAAAGCGAAACAATAAAATACGATATGATTGGATAGGGAATTCTGAATGTTGTTTTGTGATCCAAAGTCCAAGTAGTGTGACGTAATAGGTTAATTGCACATTAACAGTAAGGCTATTCGATAAATAAATAGCAAAAGAATGGTAAGGCAGAAAAACCAAGGGAGAAAGAAGAACGGTGGTGAGTATGGAGCGAAGAAAACAATTTCTGTCCTTTTCAAGTTCACATCGATCTATTTACACAATCCGGAATCGATTCACGCTTGAGAACAGACCCCAAACCTTCAAACATTTCAATAAAGACTATCCAATAGTTTCGATCTTGAGCACTGAAAGATGAAAAAGTAAAAAACGTCAAATTTAACCACTCTTCAAAAAATAAACTAGGGAAAATGAAATGAACAAACGTGGAATTTAATCGCCAGCCTGCAATTGCTTATACAGGACTGAGA